AGATGTCCTACTATTATCATAAACTTCCAAAAGTGTCTAGGATCATTTTTAAGCGACAATTCAGCATTTTCAATGTACTTACAATAACATTTTTTTGTCTTAAATTTAAATTTGAACCAAAAAAAAATTCTTTGTAATTAATAGCAATAATAATTATTTTATAAAACGCGTGTATACGCTTTTAAAACGAAATAAGTTTTAGTTCTTTGGAAAACCACGTTGTGTAAGTAGATTCAATAAAGCGAATTTTGAGTACAAAATCAAGAACATACTTATGTAACGCATTATAAAAAATGGTCAAAACCCAACCATGGTCAAGTCAGCGTCTAAACACTCTAAAGTATAATTCAAATAAAATGTAACTATAAAAGAACAAATACTAGAAACAATTGACTTTTTAAAAAAGATATTGTTTTGATAATTTTATTATTACCAAATAATAAAATTGTTGAGATATCCAAGTCTAGATGATTAATATGAAGTGCCATAATGATAAATAAACTAAAATTAAATTTTGCTTCTCCATTTTTGGTTTCCTTGAAACAGCAAAAAGAAAAAGGTTGACAATGATGTGAACAAAAGTGTGAAGATGATGATGACTTATTTTGAACATAATAGTAGTTTCCCATGGCAGTTTCATAATGCATTGGAGGAGAGGGTATTGAACAGTGTTGCCATAGCGTTGATAGACCGTTGACAAATGTGGTATTTTAGGCTAATTGAAACAGGTGGTAGGAAACATTTATTAATCTACTAAATAAAATTGTGTGTATATGTGTAACACTGAACCTATAGACGCATGACATGTACTTTTTGAATTAATTAATTTTTTATGTTACAAGCTCTTCTGTGTACAGCTCACGAGAATCGCAATCTATAGGATTATGTCGGGTAGAAACGTGATGCCAAATAGATGATGATGTAAGATCTTGAATCTGGCTGATACTGTTTGTGACAAAAGTCGCCCAATGATGAGGGAAAGATTTCAACCACGCCAAGACAGGAGTAGAATCAGTTCACGTATATAAAGCATTCATTTCAAGACGATCTGAATAACTATTTTCAATGAATCGGAGTAATTTGGCTGCAAGAAGAATACCACATAATTTTATAGCCGAATAATTATATAATTTTTAAGAGGAGCTACGTTCAATATATTGGTTATTAGATAACATAAAATCTCAGTATAAGTTTGGACTCTCATGTACTGTTACTGCATAGCCTTTCTCCGAGCTGTCAGAAAAAACATGTAGCTGGTAATACATAGCATTATAAGATAAATAAACAATAAGGTATGGCATTGTTCTCAAGTAATTTGACTTAAAAATTATTATTACAAACTAAATCGACAAATGCAGGAAGCTCGTGTAATAGCAAAGAACTTTTTGAAATAAAAATAAAAATCGAAGAAATACTATGATCAAAAATTTTTGTCATCATAAAAAAATTGCACAAGAATGTGTACCACCAAAGAGAGCAATAAAATTTGATTCAATGATATATGTAAGAGTGCATTAATCAAAAGAAACGAACTGAAGACAAAACCAAAGAAAACCCATCCGATAAGTGCTTAAGAAACATGAAGAACAGAATTAATATTACTAGAAGAATAGAGAAAAGTCTAGACGAATAGATGAAAAAAAATACAAATTAATAGGTATAATTATTATCCGTCATGCAATCGCTTTATTCGCTCTTTTAACTGTAGTCCAATTACACACGCAGGGCAAGAGGGCATTGGCTAGGGGCGCAAATTTCAATACTACATAATATGTAATAATTTGTTTACGTAATATTTTAAAAATATATACTTATTTTAACAGCTTATTACAGAAGATAAATACTGAATAGTATATAAAAATTATTTATGTTAACATCGTTTGTTTCCTAAACGAAATATTATTGAAATTTGATAAGCGAGTAATATTCTCATAAAATAGGTAGGTATATTCTATATATATATTTCTAGCATAAATGTAGGTACCTATACGAAATGTAACGGTACGTTGGCCTGTTATGCGGAAAAAATCAATCCGCTTAGTTTATTATTGTTTTTATCGTTTCAATTATGTATAGTTAGTCTTTTTTCGTTTTACTTATCAGTTTATTTGTCGTGTCATTTATTGGTGATCGTGTAATATGTTAATCATTAACGTTTATTTTATTATAACAAGTTGTTATTAACAACATAAAATGACAACGCCGTTTTATTACAGCTGTAACTGTAGTGTTCTGTGTGATTTCCTTTTGAGAAATATTAAATAATTAGAGGTACGTAAGTTAATATTTACTGGTAAGCATAAAAAAATTACATTGTAATTAATATTATAAGTGCAGTACCTATTAGTCTATATTAGGTCTTTTATTTCATAAGTATTTTAATTTATAGACAATAAATAGAGATGCAGTAAATTTTATTTCATTTTATACCTTATACAGTTATCACTTATATGATAGCGGATATATATTTTATGCTGTTTAAATGTAGAGGGTCTACATTGTAGGGTGTTTGTGAGTTGTGGCCCAATCCTTATATCAAGTACTAGTTGCGGCTTGGATTTATGAAAGAGATGTATGAGACGGTTTAGAATGTCAAGGGAGACATAAATGATGTGTGGAATAGATTTGCTAGATGTATTGAGAATATTGCAAAGAAGATTGTTGGTCAAAGTAGGAGTAAAATGCAAGGAGACCTGGTGATGGGATGAGGACGTTCAAAAAATCATAGAAAGTAAGAAAAAGCAATTCAAAATATGACAGAAGAGCAAAAGGTGAGAAGATTGGATGAAGTATAAACGCTTTTGCAATGAATCCAAGTGTGCAGTAAGTAAAGCGAAGTTAAAGAGGTATGATAGGCTCGGAACAAAGGAAGACGAGTAATAAATCTATAGACTTGCAAAAGTAAGACAGAAAAGGTCTAAAGATTATCATTATATAAGGTTTATAAAAAGTGTTGATAATAAGGTACTCATGAGTGATGATGATGTGAAAATAAAGGTGAAAAGAGTATTTTGAAAAATTAATGAATGAGGATTACCCAAAAAAAAACATTAAAGGATATCTCGTGGAATGAGGGACTGGTAGATTTAATTAGTGAGAAAGAGGTATGGATGGCTATGGCATCAATGAAAAATAATAAAGTAGTAGGACCAGATGAAGTACCAGTAGAAGTATGGAAAATATAAGGTGGTTGAAGGAACTTTTAAATGAAATCTTATTAGTAGGGAAAATACCAAATGAATGGAGGAATAGTATTGTAGTGACGATATTTAAAGGTAAAGGTGAAATACAGGAGTGTGGAAATTATAGAGACATAAAGCGTATGAGTCATAGTATGAACATTTGGGAAAAACTAATAGATAAGAGAATAAAAAATGAGACATCGGTATCTAAAAACCAGTTTGGATTTATGCCTGGTAGGTCAACAATGGAGCCAGTATTTTGTGTGAGGCATCTAATAAAAAAGTTTAGAGAAAAGAAGAAAAAGCGGTTTATGGTATTTATAGATTTAGAGACAACGTATGATAGAGTACCGAGAGAAGTTTTAAAGTGGTCATTAATGAGAAAAAGAGTCCCGAAAAAGTACATTAATATTATAGAAGATATGTATGCACTTGTATCAGGGTAAAAAGCGTAGGAGGAGTATCAGAAGGTTTTCGCGTAAGAGTAGGAGTGCACCAAGGTCCTGCTTTAAGACCTTACTTATTCTCTATAGTGATGTATGAAATTACTAGAGAAATACAAGGAGAGATGCCGTTGTGCATGTTGTTTGCTGACGATATAGTGTTAATAGGAGAAAATAGGGAGGAAATTAATCAAAGGTCAGAGATGTGGAGATCAGTGCTTGAAGAAAAGGGTTTAAGAATAAGTAGAAGTAAAACAGAGTAGATAGAGTATGAATTTGACAAAGAAGAACGCGAGGTAGTTGAAATGAGGAGGTCAGTGACAATAGGCGATGACGTAATTGGAGAGGTGGAGAGTTTTAATTATTTAGGGTAAGTTGTGCAAAAGAGTGGTGGTATTTACAAGGATGTAAGACACAGAATTAAGTGCGGGTGGTTGAAGTGGACAGAAGCGTCTGGCGTCTTATGCGATAAAAGAATTCCAATGAGGCTGAAATGTAAATTCTACAAGACTATAGTTAGACCAGCTATGATGTATGGTTCAGAGTGTTGGGCAGTTGATAAGAAAGTTGAGCAGAGATGAGAATGCTTAGATGGATGAGTGGAGTGACTACTAAAGATTAGATATGAACATTTGTAGAAATGAATGTTGATGGAAGAAGAGGTAGAGGAAGATCAAAAAAGAGATGGAGGGATGATATTGAATGCGATTTGAGGACAGCTGATGTGAGCGTACATGATGTGGGAGATCGTGTCAAGTGGTAGTTTAGGATAATGGTGGCCGACCCCAAGTAGTTGGGATTAAGGCGAGGAAGAAGAAGAAGTAGATATCAGTCTATACAATACTATATTTTAAAACCTCATAAAATGTTTATTCAATAATATTAATTTAAAAGGTACAATTTTATTTTCATAAAAATAAATTATATACAATTAGCAAAAACGTTAAACATGACATTTTGAATCTACATTTTGCACGGTTTATTATGAATATATTAAATATCAAGATTCATAATTTAATAAAAACATTTTTCCTATCATATGTGTATTTACTTTTTTTTTTTTTGTGAATTTTTTATTATCTTATAAATTAAAAATAATAGAAAATATTTTTTTGCTGTTTTGAAATCTGTGTAAAAAATTAGTTTAGATATGTAAAAATTGCTTTATCTAGTGGAGAAAATATCAATAGGTGGACTTCGACAAGATGGCATAACACTGTAAAAAAGGATCTTAAGAAAATCTGGCTGATTTGGATTCTAGAGCGGCATTAAATAAAAAGGGGTAGAGAGCATACCAAAAGCAATGATCCTAACATAAAGATCACTTGTGTATCTCATAATTTAATAAGTAAAGGAAGTTATTTAACTATTTTACTATTTGGAAAGAAGAACAATATCTCATTTTGTGCTGCGTGCCTATTACTACTTCCATGAAATCCATTTTTAACAGGAAAATTTCCAGATTCAATACCATACTTTGCCCTTAGCGTGAATGGAAAATTTTTTTTTGCATATTTGACATTAGTTGGTCCAATTAATCTCTTCCATTCATCTATACAATTTTTCTTCATCAAAACATAAACTACTATTGGGCCACTAGATATGTATTCTACTAAATTTGTGAAATATAATTCAGATGTATGTTCTCGATAGAAATCTGAGGTTTCTTCTTTTCTTAAATGAAGTATATCTTTCTAAAATTATTATAGAATATATTCTTTACAGAAATCTTTTCATAAATTTTGAATAATTTAAATACTTTTTTTATTACAAATCCCTTTTGAGACATGATATTTTCAATTTTGTACATATATTTAGTGATTGAAGGTTTTATTATTGCTAATGTGTATTCTATAACAACACATTGTTCATTTAATTCAGATTCATCAAATAGTGACACATTAGAATATAAAGTAGAATAAGATTCAATATCAGATAAATTTTGAAATTGTTTATTTTGAATGTAATTAATAGACCATTTACGTTCAGGTATTACATTGCTAGATAAGCTGCTACAATTCAATGAGGTCATTTAGTGTTAATAAAAATATTATATAAATGATAAATTTTAGTATATTTGATCAAATTTTAATTAACTTGATATGTTTGATAAATGTATGTTACTAAGCAAAATATATTATTATAATTAAATGTCGATACATTTTTAACATGCTTATATAAGTTTCACATGTATGTTTGTAAATCTCCATGCGCCACGTGTTATTATTTCCGCGTATCCCATCGTCTATGTCTTAGAGACTAGACTGTCGAAACGCATTTACCCAACTCCGCTCACAAAAACACTATTCCTGTATAATTTTACTTTTGCTTTTCGTACCCGTACATGCGTGCGTGTCATCAATATTATATATATAAAAACAAATTTTTATTGTTTACTAGCTGACCCGGCAGACTTCGTATTCCATCAATCGATCAATAAAATAGCTAAACTATTGTATAAAAAAAACTTAAAACAAACATAAGTAATCCGTAATTATTTAAAAAAATATGCTCGGTATGAATGAGGTTTTATTACAATTTTCATATAATTACACTTGGTTTTGCTAAAAAATAGTCACGTCACAATAATGAGATACTTACAAAACAAGGTTTTCCTAAAATACTGGCTATTTATAAAGTTTCAATTTGATATTAATATATAATAAAAATTGATCACTTGTGGCTAGTTAATTAAGTAAAATTAAAACTATATTAAAAATATTATTAATTTAAAAAAACTAAAAAATATTAAAAATAAGTATGTGTAGTGTCAGTATGTGTTTAGCGTTGATAATGGTAACATCGTTTCCGAAATACGTATCCGCGACTTTTCATTAATTTTTTTGTGGCTTTTGAGTTTAATATTTTTAATATTTTTTAGTTTTTTTAAATTAATAATATTTTTAATATAGTTTTAATTTTACTTGATATTAATAGGCACACACAGTTATGATACAGTCTGTTAATCAATTTAAAGCTTTCTGATAAACTATATTTTTTGTTTTGTTTTGTGGTTGTAAATAAACAAAGATCACGGTTTTCTAACACGCGAAAGAGGGAAACTCAAAGTTGATTCCGCAAACTTCCAACGACTGGCCTTGCGATTTATTTATGGTCATCGCAAAGGCCAAATGTACGGGAAATTGTAGACGTTTAAAATCGAATTGTAAATCCGATGTGAGTTAAAGAAAGTTCTCGGGCACGTACTCGGAGAGAACAAAATACGACTGTGGAGAGTGCCGTACTGAGTAAGCGTGTGCTTAGTGCGCGTAGCTCTATTCGATATCGATTACAATACAGTAGAACCTCATTAGTCCGGACTTCGCTTAATCTGGACAGCTGTCTAATATTACGAAAAATACACAGTTTATGCCGTAGACTAAAATAAACATAAAGGTAAGTTTCTCAAATTTCCCATAAGTACATATATTCTTATCTACCGTCATTAAAGTTATCATAAACTATGTATTAGTAATTTATATTTTGGTCATTATTATGTATATACATAATTCTATCCACATTAAATATGTAATGTTTTTGCTGGATCTAATATCATGTTGCAATATATATATATATATATATTATATCATATATAGTATTAAGTATAATATAATATTCTTAAATCTATAATACGGACATGTTTTTTGGTTATTTTGTTTAATCCGGACTTTCATTAAATCGGACAACCTAGAGCCCTTATTAGTCCGGATTAATGAGGTTCTACTGTATATATATATCAGATATAGATAACGATGTTATTTTTTTTCACCTATAACAATATATAGGTACGATAATTCATAATCTAATCTGTAATAGATAAACATAATGGGTCATATTCGTGTATCGTACATGGCACCTATATCTCTCACATCCCAGTGATTCAGATATATTTTTATTTAATTCCGAACATTTTCATATTCACTCACCTTTTAAACCTTCTCTGGACTTCCACAAATAATTTAAGACCAAAATTAGCTAAATCGGTCCAGCCGCTCTCGAGTTTTTATTATTATGTATACCAGGGGCGTTTTTAAGGAGGATATAGGCAATTTCTCCCCTTAAACCAGCGCTATCAATATTTTTTTAGGTGACTTCTAATAATATGGCTCTAATGATATATTTTTTTTTTGATCATAACTTAGATTTTTAGCGAAAAATTCTATAACATGTTTATTAAAGTAAAAAAAATTAAATACCCTCTTAAAATAATTTCCGAATACGCCCAAGGGAAATACTTCATTAACAAACGTCAACCTTATACCCAATACATTTTACTATTTTTTCTTTTTGAATTTTTCTGATTTTAATAATTAAATATTTAATATATTTTAGATACACTGATTTTGGTGTAGTATTTTTCCTGAAAAACATATTTCGTGCACGGCATAGCCGGGTATTCGTACCGGATCAGTGGACTACGTACGACGTTGGGCCAAAGAGGCTTACGCGACGAAGGCGCGCGAGGTTCGTAGAGCTCCATCTAGGCGAAACATAGTAATATAATACAATTGAAAATTTATTTAATTAAATAAAACAATTTATTTAAGAAATTAAGTATTGATTTTGAACGAGTATTCGTTAAAATAAAAAACAAGCTGAGTAGACCGTTCCTACATATCGCGTATTTGGAAAATATTTATATTCCTTTTGATTCGTATCACAAATAACAACAATCGTTGAGGATGGCGTATAACGAATGCCGAACACTCGTATAAGTACTCCGTTCCCACTGCAAGATAAATATTCGGCAAATAGACGAGTAGTGGCAACCCGGTTTTATAAACCAGTAGTACTTATCAATTTATAATTCAATAAACATATTGTATTTTTAAATTAGGTACGTTTTTTTCTTATCGCCCTTTAAATTTAAATAGCTATAACTCATTAAAAATCAAATAATAAAAACAATTAAGTAAAATTAAAACTATATTAAAAATATTATTAATTTAAAAAACTAAAAAATATTAAAAATATTAAACTCAAAGCCACAAAAAAAATTAATGAAAAGTCGCGGATACGTATTTCGGAAACAATGTTACCATTATCAACGCTAAACACATACTGACACCCCGACTAGAAAAAACTCCCTTATATACAAACTTCCTTATATACCCCTAGTGACGTCATCACTAAGTAATATTATCACATTTTGCCAGTTTACACAAGTTTAATAATGAATTTTTCAGTGGGCCAAGATCCCAATTAATTAAATTGTTTTTATTTTTAAACATTTCTATTGCTTCTCTGATATTAAGTTCTTTGTAATTATTTACGTTTTTAATTAGTTTTATGGTTTTAATAGAGTGATTATGTGTCAATAAATGTTCAGCCACTGGAGATTTCTCAATTTCTTGATTTTTAATATTTCTTAAGTGCTCTTTAAACCTGACCCCTATATTTCTTTTTGTTNTAAAAAAATTTCCAATGGAAGATCTACTAGTAGGCATTGAAATGGGGGTTAAAAGTGTTGATTTTAATAATCAAGACTTAGTAAGAAGGGAGTGTTTAAATTTTCTACAAAAAAATTCTGTTATAAATAAAGGGGGTTTAGGAAAAAATGAAAAACATTCACGACTCATAAAAGACTTAAAAAATAAAAACTGTTTTTATTTAAAGGCAGATAAGGGGAATTCTGTTGTAATATTAAAAAAAGAAGATTATTATGAAAGAGTATCAAGAATGATTCAAGAGGGTCCTTATAAAGAAATTAAAAAGAATCCATTAAGTAAAATGATAAGGGAGGCTACAAACGTCATAAATAGTTCAAAATTAATAATCGAAGAAAAGTTCAGGTTTTTCATTAAAATTTCAAACCCTCAAATACCTAAACTATATGCTTTGCCAAAAATACATAAGCCAGGAAGTACTATGAGACCTATTGTGTCGAATATTAATGCTCCGACTTACAATTTGGCTAAACACCTAGTAAGGGTATTTTCATCTTTCAAAAAATTCGATAGTTTTTCAGTTAAAAATAATATTGATTTAGTTAAACAATTATCTAGTTATACCATTCAAAATAATGACAGGTTAATTTCTTTTGACGTAGTTGCCTTATTTCCGAATATTCCAATAAATATAACAATTGATTTTCTTAAAGACTGGCTAAAGGACCAAAACATTGAACAGGATAAAATAAATGAGCTTATTAATTTAACAAAGTTATGTATGAGTCAAAATGTTTTTCAGTTTCAAAATAAATTTTATGAGCAAACTGAGGGCACAGCAATGGGAAATCCGCTATCACCATTTTTAGCAGAACTTTTCATGAGTAGGTTTGAAACAAATTTAAAATACACTTATGGTGATTTTCCAAAAATTTGGGTTAGGTATGTAGATGATATTTTTGCAGTTATAAATAAAGATTTTAATATGGGGGTTTTCATACAACATTTAAATTCTTTTTACCCATCGATTAAATTTACATATGAACAAGAAATAGAGGGAAAATTGCCTTTTTTGGATTTATTAGTTAAAAGAACAGAGGGGGAACTAAATTTTGAAATTTATCGGAAAAACACACACACGTTCAGATACATTCCGAACACATCGAACCACACCTGGCAACACAAATTGTCAGCTTTTAATAGTATGGTTTACAGATTAATTAATATTCCGATGAATAAAATAGATTATGATAAAGAATTGGTGGTTATAAAAGAAATAGCTAAATTTAATGGGTATAACGAAAACATAATTTTGAAATTAGTCCGAAAACAAAAGTGGAAAAAAGAAAGGAGGGCAGCTAGTACACTCTCCAGCGAGGGGGAACAAAAAGTAATTAGATCACCAATTTTATTTTATCCGGGCATCTCAAATGGATTAACTAAAATATTTAAGAATTTTGGTATTACTTTGGTAACATCTAAGAGTAATAATTTAAGAGATTTATTAGGTAACCCTAAAGATAAGGTAGATGAAGGGGGGAAATCAGGCATTTATAAAATACAATGTGAAAGTTGTAATAAATGTTACGTAGGACAAACAAAAAGAAATATAGGGGTCAGGTTTAAAGAGCACTTAAGAAATATT